TTTTTCAAGTTTCAAGCTCATTATGATCAGAGTTCATACAAGTATACTTCTCCTATACATTTCAATTTTCATTTCAATGCTGAACATATCGGTGAGTTATATTTTTATATCATACTACACCCTTCCATGCTCTGTTTTTTGGTATTCAACAGATATAATTCAATGTTCGACGTGGCAAATAGCTAGGAGAGTAGTTGTTTTCTGTTGAATATTCAGAATTATTATATTATATGCATATCTTTATATGAAGGAGAATGCAAATTCTCTACTTCAGAAGATTTTGTTTTCGAATTCTCATCGTGTGTGTTCAATAGATGTAATTCAATATTCGTCGTGGCATATAGCCAGGAAAGTAGTTGTTTTCTGTTGAATAAACCGAGAAAGAATTAATATTTTCATCACATGGTGAATGCGAATTCTCAATGTATTTCTTTATATAAAGGTATACATCCATTTTTTTGTGTTCATACATATATCTGAGAATGTTCCTTTTCAATAAGTATATTTTCATTGATTGATTGATTGCCCCTCCCTGGCCCCCCTAAATGACGCCATGCCCGCAATAATTCCCACACGCGTTCTTTATCTTCTTGACGTGCCGCATAATTCATTATTGAATAACGATTTGACATTGGCCTGAATAAAAATGGTCAAGATCAGTGAGATACCTACCTTTTCGCGCCATGGCAATCCGATCACTGATATTTTTTAGTGAAAGGCTATACGCCAATTTTTTCGCAGCAATCAATGTCACGCCAGACGATGCTAGCACGTATTCAAGAGTATTCTCGAACGGCTATCAAAAGAGTTACTTTCCTGAGGATTTCATCAGTCATCATTTCAAATTTTCATTCATGTTGGAGTTGGAATTAACTGCACTTTCCCATACTTCAAAAAATATCAGTCGACCTCGATTTCAATTATCTTGTGCTGCCCTCTGTCAGTGGCCATTCGAACTATTATCTTGCATGGTTCTAGCCTTATTAGCATCCAAACAAGAATAGAGAACTGCTGCATACCTATTGAAGTATATTATAATAGTAGAATAATAAATCGAAAATTCGGGTCATCTGTGGAAAAATTCTTCCATTCATCAATTTAGATATTGGTTAAAAAAGTTATCACGGAACCATGATCCACTTAGAACTTTGACAAAATTATTGGAGTAGTCTACGCCATCTATTATTGAAAAGCTCAAGCCGATTTCACTAAAGCATCACAGTTTCTGGAAATTCAAAACTACAGAAACCTGCTGGACGAATGGAATGCTATTTCTTTTGAGAATGATAGATGTAGTTGAGTAGCTCATTTTATTATTTTCAAATTGGAAATATACAATTTCAAAATATAATGAAGAACCGACGTTCATATTGTTTCATTAGAATCAAGAATGTCTTTTCCTTCAACGATTCAACTAACATGGTGTTTTCTGTCCATAATATACAACAGAAAAAAACTATTGGTTTCAAAGCGAATAGGTAACTTATTTGGCAACAATTTCAGTTCCTATAGGAATAAAAGTACTTCCTGGTTCAAGAAATTGAAAATGGAGCTTTAGTATCTGATTCTGTTCAAATTGATGATTACCTATACTTGAAGATAGTTGTATCTTTTTTTCTTCTGGAACAATGAACAGTTTGCCTTATTACGATATTGTTAATGGACAATCAATTCATTCCTACATTGAACGATATAGGAAATCTGCGGTTTTCATAACAATTTGTTTTTGTTTATTACATCCGAGACGAAAAATGTAACAAGAAATGTCAACCAGTTAGAAATATCTCAAGGATCAAAGAGAAAGAACTACACTGGGATTTTCATGGATAATAAATAACAAAACAATATAAATAAATAGTGATGAAATGAAAATGGACATTGCCTCAAAATGAGTGTATATAGGCAGGAGACAACTTTGATCTCGATCTGATTACTATACTATACTATAGTGGTTAAATAATATTTCCGATTTGAAACATTGCTACATTAATTACCTATTACCTAACGGCACACCCTATTTATTTATCCCTATTCGGCTAGGAATTTCGTATACAATTTCAATGATATTAGGTTTGATATGTGTATACGTCAATTGTGTACGAAGATATGAAGGAAAAATATTCCAGAGAAATTCCCCAATAACAATGGCTGCGAAGTGAAATGGTCTGTTTTCAAAAATATTCAATTCAAATTCCTTCTGCACCTATGCTATAATTTGTCTGGTATTCACCTGGCATTCGCATAGAAGAATCCTTAGGAACCAAGTCCGGCGAGTGAGCTGGTCATTCACTTGGTCCTCACTCATCTGTGATACGGTGATATAAGATCTTGTTGGAATATACCAATTCGAATCGTCGTTTATACCTACAATGTGAATTCCATCAGACTATCTCAATTTTTTCAAGTGGAAACTGTTTTGGCTGAAGAAAAACATTGGAGTTCGCGGCATTGTCACGTCTCCGTTGTTTCTTACGCTTTCACATCAAAACTATCATGAAACTATGTATACATATTCTTAGACAGATTGGGAAGGACATAGGATTTTATCTGAAAAAATTCAAGATGGGGATCCAATATGGCAGACGCGTATTGTAATTATGATCCGACTCTGTTGAAAATTGGTATTTGAATATTTAAGATTTCGGAAATTACGATTCTTTCGTCAGATTTGGAAAATTCAAGAGGACGGAATCAATATGTCGGACGAGTTTTTTAATTATGATCCGATTCTATTCAAAATTTGTATCTGGGGTTTTCGGGGTCGCAAATTATGATTTTTTCCGACAAAATTTGGAAATTCAAGATGGCGAACCCAATATGGGGCACAAGTTTTGTTATTGTGAACCGATTCTATTCAAAAATTTTATCTGGAAGTTTTCGGGGTCGGAGATTATGATTCCAACAACAGAATTAGATAATTCGAGATTGCAGAACCAATATGGCGAAAGAGTATTTGTAATTATGATCCGATTCCATTCAAAATTTGTATCTATGGTTTTCGGCGTCGGAGATTATGAATCATTCGTCAAGATTGTGAGATTCAGGCGAATTAAAAACTAGTAGACAAATAATAATCGAATAGCTCACAAGTTACTCAGATTTTACTTCTATCGGCGGTCCCCAAAAACTGCTCCCGGACTCCTTTTTTTTATAAAAATTGATAGGTCATCAGAGAGGACGACTAACATTGCCAACTTAGACAGTATCAATCAGACTACCTTGTTAAACAAAAAACTGAACGGTTTCTGATGAGCTATTTGACTGTTTCCCAATCCTCTTTATTTATTTCGTCTCCTGAACTATTTTTTGTGTAACATTTTATATTTACTTTAAATGCAAATGAAGGTATTCAACGAGTTTTCTTCTAATAACAAACTCATTCTGTATAGTTATTGTAATACTTTCACCTTTTACGTCTTGCATTTGGTTGCACTTAATGCATTTTGCAGCAGTCGTATCATTGACATCAGAAAGAAACCTTGCTCGTATTATTATTATCACCCAAGTTCTCACCATCAATAGAAAGAAATTTTCTTCCATGTGAAAAGGATAATATGTTACCTCATACCGATGGTGAGTAAAATAGATTAATAATTTTATAATTATTATTGGAAACGTTTCACCTAATAACAAGAATTTAACTAAGTACCTATAGGTATGAATTTTGTTTCGATCAAAAATATTGTATCAAAACAGACGGCCAGGGAATTATTGAAGTTGCATGAAGGTGAGGTAATGTTAAAATCAACCATATAATGAGATGACAAAATATTTAAAAATCCGCAATACCTGAATATAAGCAATTTGATTCAATTCTTGATTTGATACCACTTACTAGATATTCAAATATTGGCATGATGAATTTTCAAGAGTATTTCGAAAATGTTTTATAACAATAACAATACAAGAGTTTCGTTTTGTCGAATGAATTTATCTCCCTAGAACGACAAAAATTTGACAATCAGTATAGTTCTAATGTCAGTTTTTCGAGTGAAGTTACTGATGGACAAATGGACAATTATTGAGTTAGTAATGATATTCATCCAATAAGAAAAGTTCAAGTGTATTTTTGACAAGATAATCAACGACAACGTATGAATACAAATTTCCACATTTAATACTACAAGAGCTTCAATTATTACCGGAGTCGAAGACGAGAGAGAGTTCTCTAAATATTCGTGGTGGTAGTTCAAACTATTATTTATGCCACTGAAGTTCAAAGGAATATTTTGATACAAGGAACTCGACTATAATGTAGTTTTAGTTAGGTTTTAGTATAATTCATATCCATAACATTGTTAGATCAATAAAACACAATGAACTTACTTTGATTACACAAAATCATAAAAAAATTAGTCGATTGTACCTCAATTTCTCATTTTTCAGAGAAAATCCGCAATTCACTGAAGTTGGTAGCAATAAATTTACTCCCAAGAAATTCGAAGTATATTTAGTATCAATGGAATTTGTTCACGTGATATTATTAGGTTAAATAAAATGTGATCAAACGACTATAGTTAAATGAAATAATGAAGAATGAGTCAATAGTAGCTCAATCTCATGAATTCATTTAGGTAAAGTAAGTAGAAATATGTTTTCTCGTAAGGAACTCATCAAATTATAGAATGAATTCAACATAATCTGAAGTCAATAATTGTAAATGTCATTTTCACCTATATAGCTTTGAATTGGTCGAAAATGTTAGGTGTGAACTGACTTATTCCTGTTGCTATTTTAATTTTTATGATTTGATCGATTTAGCATTTTCAGATTTTTTAGATTTCTTGTTGTTGTCACCTTGTGTTATTTTATTATTGTTGTTTGTAATCAACTTCCTCATGCCAGAATTTTATTTCTGACTGGAAGCTATTTTCTCAATAAACAATAAAAATAAATTCACGTCATCGACAAATGGTATTTTTCATGGAGGAGTTGATTTATCAAAAGTTATAATAATGAAGACTGAAAACGTTTAAATGTTTTTGACACTCCGTGTATTTCGACTTTGTCTACATCAATAACACATCGACAGTTATAAAAGTCATTATTGTCATTTCAACAATTTTTTTGAACCTATTTACATAGCAGATTTCAATAGGAATATAACTTATGCAGATGTGAAAACCTACTAACGAATATTGACAAAATGTTAAACAAAACTGCCATTACCTATGGTCTTTTAAAAGGTGAGTTAAGAACCGAATTTATGATTACCATAATTTTTTTTTGGAATACACGCATTTTTGTCTGGAAAACACGAATTTGATGATGAAAATGTGAACAAACCACTATTTATGGAGATATTTCAAGAAAAAGTTCGAAATTCTTTTTCCCCTTGTGTTGGATGCATTTCCAGCTACTTGCTCTTTTTATTTTGTCATTGGACACTTTATATACTCTTGAAGTACTTCAATGACACATTATTATATATTAAATTCAACAGGAATAGTTATTTTCCTAACAAGTGAACGACGCGGAGCGGAGTTCGAATAAGTTTTTGCGTGCGGAAAAGACACTTCGCGCACGTGTTAGGAACAACGTCTTTCCTACGACCTTCATATCAAATAGAAAGGAAAATAAAAAAATGTCAACTTAAATTACAATTTATTGAATAATTTTTAGTTGAACTTGATAGAAATATAGCTTAACAACAAACAGTTACATATCAATAAAATATAATGGTTGAAAATTAAATCATTTGTTCCTAATATTTATATTGAGGTGAAATACGAATATCGGAAAGAAGGGATGAAAAGTGAAAAGGATAACGGCTTCTTATAGTGCATACAATAGTCTACAGCAACTAAAATGAAACTGAATGTTCCATAACAGTGAGATTTTTGGGCAGTTTTACTTATCCGCACGCCGTGCGGATAACTCCCATATCCGCACTGAGTGCGGAAAAGTATTACTTTGCGCACGCTCGTAGGAAAATATGATTTTTATGGCCAGTTTCTCATATTTAGTGAACAAGCATACCAGATGAAGGCCATTTAATCAATAGTCAATCCAAATACGAGATGTCAAATGTCAACAGATTGGTTCAAGATTCAGAATTCTGATCACCCTGTATCTGTTCCAATTAAATGTTAGTAGATAGTAAATCACAAGTTGAGATAGGGACATGAAAGCCGTTTTGACCAATAATGAATAGTTTCGACTCAAAAAAATCCTAAAGTTGTAAAATCTCGATTTTGAACACCCTATATCTCTGTAATCATTCCTGCTAGACCACAAGTGTGATGCATTGATGAAATCAGCTTTTCAGGGGGAATCTAAAAATGCAATAAAATACAGGGTGTTCCATTTGAAATAACAAAGTTGTTGCTTCTTTTCGTTAGAAGTGGCAACGCCGCGGGGCTGAAAATATTTTAGAACCATGTCCCCCTCGAAAATGTAGTTGACGTGTCTCGGGATTTTTCAAAAACATACACACATTTCGAGAAAATTATGGTGGGAAGTCCTGAAATGAACACCCTGTATATAAATTGTCCAATGATGGAAAAAGAAGGGCAAATTGTTCTAAATGCGATCCAAAAGACAGGCGGAAAAGGAGGTGTAATTTGTAACTTTATAGTGAAATATCTCAATAAATAATGGTTTGTTCACATTTTCATTATCAAATTCGTGTTATGCAGACAAAAATACATGAGTATCAAAAAAATTATTCGAAAAAAAATGAACATCGCTTGATAAGTTTACCAAAAAATGCGAGACATTACAACTGAAAAATAATCGTCAAAAATGACATTCGCAGACGAAAACGTTAACGATGATCATCAGGAGAAAGAAGATGCGCTGGAGGCGACTATTGGAAATTTCGGAAAATGGCAGCTGCGAATATCCGTTCTCATGTCCTTACTGAAATTTCCTATCGCCTGGTTCACCCTGAGCATCATTTTCCTCGCACCACCGACCAATTTTTGGTGCAAGCCGTCTCAGAAATATTCGAATATGTCTGATACAGAATGGTTGAAGATTTCAGAGAAAAATTATCCACGAGCTATGAAACAGGTATATATGATAAGGAAAAGCATGATTTTTGATGAATCTATACAGATCTATACTTCCTATATACAGGGTGTTTCAAAAAAACCTAACCCCCTTGCTAGGGTAGGTAGAACATTGCAAAATAAGTTGGGTTTGCTCAGTGAAAAAATGGCGTAGCGGCATCCGTTTTCATGATACAAGGTGTTGAAAAAATTATTTTTTTACACATTTTTCACGATTATTCCGAAACTACTGGCAACATTGTAATGCAATTTTGTATGGATGTTTCTTGAAATCTGACACATCGCATGAATTTGTTTTTATATCTGACTCTCATAGAGGGCGCTAGTTACACGGTTCGTACCGAGTAGTTTTGAACATGTTTTCAGAGATGGTCTGTATAATCTCTGATGTTTTGAACGTAACTTTTTTGAGGTTAGGTTTTTCAATCCAAATATGGAACATCATTGAATTCTACACCATAAAGGTACTACCGGTGGAACTCGATATTATGTTCCGTTTTCGGAATATTTCGATTTGAAATTAATGGAGTAGTAATGATGCTGGTATAAAATTAATTTTATTGAGTTCAATTACCTATTTATTCAGGTTCAAAAACAATAAAATTATTCTTGTGCTGAAGTTATTGATGGAACAAAGAATCATAAGTAGAAAATTAATAGATATTTGACTAGAAACATGAAATATTGAATCAGTTAAAGTAAGTGTTCAAAATGTCCTACGTTTAGAGGAATACACGATTCTATATTCTTTATTTAAGAATGTTGTATTCTTCTGAAAAGTTGAGGATCAGCTGTTAGGTCATTTGAGTGATGTTCAATTATGTTTCACGTGAATTTACCTATGTAGCATAGACTTTCTGCTCAAGATACAACAAAACTGTGTAATCCATGTTCTTTTCAAATCTGTTTCGATGTTATTTTTGTGATTCATTGTTAAATCAATGAGTTTTGCATCAGAAATGTATTGTTCTTTTCGGTCTTCAACAAATAGGTGATAATTTTTCATAATATTCACTCTAATACATAGCTTTATACCAGCAACAGTTACCACTTCATCATTTTCAAATCGACATATTCCGAAAACGGAACACAGTATCGAGTTTTACCAAGAGTACCTTTTTTGTGTGAAATCGAATGATGTTCAAGTTCACATCAAATTTGGATTGAAAAATCTAACCTCAAAAATGTTATGTTCAAAACTACTCGGTACGAACTGTGTAACTACCGCCCTGTATGAGAGTCAGATATAAAAACAAATGCATGCGATGTGTCAGATTCCAAGAAACATCCATACAAAATCTCATCACAATGGATGGCGGCGTTACGACATTTTTTTACTGAGCAAACCCAACCTATTTTGCAATGTTCTACCTACCCTAGCAAGGGGGTTTGGTTTTTTTGAAACACCCTGTAGAAAAAAATCAGAATAATGAAATGGTTGGCTTATTTTAGTATAATGAATATGTCTTTGTAGAGCCGGAATTGAATTATCTTTTTTCAGGAAGGTGTAAATTCGGGTTATTGTGAAATGGTGGACATCGAAAACAATCCAAATTCAACAATACCTTGCGTATATGGTTATGGATATAATAGAACGATATTTTCATCCACTATCATCACGGAATGGGATTTAGTTTGTGGACACGAACGTCTGGTGGAACTCAGCCAAATGACTTTGATGTTTGGAGTACTGATAGGTACTGTATTTATTGTATAGGATGAGGTTGTTCTCTGAAGCTAAATATTTAATCAGGAGCTTTTCCTACATTCTGAATTTTTGATTACTATTTATTTGTTGCTTCAGGTATCTAAGTTTTGTGTTCTGTCAGTCAATTAGTGTTGGTAGTGTGTTTGTTCACTTCATGGAGAAATCAAAAAAAATATTTCTTCAATTGGAACTTTTTCATATGAAAAGTCTATGGCTCACTATTAGAATTCAATGATTCAGTGATTTTGGGGCATTCTTGAAAATTTTATATTCATACATTATATAACATTTTGAAGTATAAATTTTCAAAATCGCCCTGTATCACATGAACAGAAACAGTTATGCAAAATCTGACTAGGTCATCTCGAGTGAAAAACGCAAAGTGAAATCTCTAAAGATATCACGCAAAAGCATCGAAAACAATTTGTTGCCGGAGAGGTCTCGGATGAAATATGAAGGAAAGAAATTATAAACGATTTATGGATTATGAATTTTGCTGATACATATCAATCAGCAATGTACCCACTTTGCTGCCTAGGCAGGAAAAGTAATACTTTGCTGATTGATGTGTCAGCAAAATTAATATTTGCTGCCAATCGGAGAAAAAAATAACTATTATCATCAACATTCCAGGTAACATCTTCTGCGGAATAATGGCAGACAAGAAGGGTCGAAAAACCGTCCTGTTGTGGTGCATCATCTCACAGTCGGTGTTGGGAACAGTAGACTCGCTGGTACCTTGGTACTCCCTCTTCGTGCTGCTGAGGTTCCTCCTAGGCATCGCCAATGGAGGCACCGTCGTCACCTCCTTCGTCATGTGCTTGGAGGTAGTGGGAGGGAAATGGAGGACGGTAGTACCGATACTCTACCAGATACCGTTCGGCTTCGGTATCTCCATCATGGCGGGACTAGCTTATTTCATGAGAGACTGGAGGGAACTACATCTGGCCATTTCGATGATATCCAGCATTTACTTTCTATATGGATGGTACGACTATTTTTCTTCCACACGGACAATCAAAAGGTTAATTCTACGATTCTTCTACAAGAGATGTATAATCGTCCGAATTAAATTTGTATAGTCAAGAAGTATAAAGGCCTATGAATTACATCACTCAAATTCTCGTTAATTTCAAGATCTCTTATTATAAATTATCTTTTCCAAATTAAAACAAACAGTACAGTGTAGTTTCGATCAGGTCAGTGGAGTTCATAGACGTCGCAGTTCCTCTAGAATTTGCAAAAACCGCTTACCGTGCGATAATATCTAGGTAAGCAATATCGAAAGGTGATGGCCATTTCCATTGCAGAAAATTGCGAATCTAGCATCGATTTCAAATATAAATAGAACCCGAATCGATAAGGCATGGTCATTATTAGTTCAATCGTTATTCGATTCATCACTATCAATTATTATATTAAAATCTGTACATAACACTAATTCATTGATTGCTGACTTCCAAAGTGGCACTATGCCACTTTGGGGGTGTGACATCTCCTCGACTTTGGTGCTGCTGCCCATGACATAATGTAAGTACCAAGAACCATCATTTTGTTTTTGTTCGCTAGCCCAGTCCTTCAGCTATCATCTCGTGATTCTTTAAAACAAGGTTCTTCAAATAAAATCGCTACAGGGTGTTACCTGAAAGTCCTGAAACTGTGCAAATTTTTGGAATTTTTTACTAACTTTGACAGTAGAGGCATGTAGATTATTTAATTATCTTGGTACAGTTCTCGAACTGTCTCCTTATCTCTTTTATTTATAGAGTGATCTCAAGAAACTAACTTCTTGGTTTTGAAGTCATGACATTTTCCTCGACAACCGATTTTTGAAATCTCAGGCTCATTTTGAAGCTACTGAAAATACACACTATGCCCAAGTGGAGTCGTCTCTGCTCGCCAACAGCCATGCAACCATCCATAAAAATGATATAAGCAGGCAAGATAGGTTGAAAATCACTTCGAGATGAGGACGTCCCATTTGCATCCTCCTGCATATTTCAGAACCCTACCTCAATAATTACGTGAGATACGAGGTTGCTTCCATGAGAAGTGAGACAAAATTAGATTTTTCTGAACTGAAAATTTTCCAGAAAAAATATGTATAGTCAGTGAATTGATCGTCCTGATTTCTGATCCGGAGTGATTTTTAACATTTCTTGGCTCCTAATAACATTTTCCGGAAATTTGGGTGGCTGTTGGCGGGCAGTGTTTATCTCTGGAGATGACTCCACTATAAGTCATAGTGTTTATTCTCAGTATATCTCTTGATCCTGTAAATTTCAGAATCCTAACTCAACAATTACGGTGTGCTTCCATTAGAAGTGAGACACTATAAAATGTTCATCTTGAGTCAATTCTGATCTTCATATGGCTTTCGAGGGTCATGTGATACGGAGTCCGCAGTTATGGATGTTGTAACAGATTTCCAATTGCAACTAGATACAAACAAGATATGTGGACTCTTATCAATTGACTTAAGAAAGGCATTTGATACTGTAAATCATGAAATTCTCTTGAATGAATTGTATTGTATTGGTCTAAGAGGTCCTGTCTACGACTGGTTTCAACATTATTTGAGTGATAGGAAACAATTCGTATATTTAAGAGAATCATTCAGTAAGAGCGATGAAATAGTATGCGGTGTACCGCAAGGATCAGTATTGGGCCCTATTCTATTTCTTATTTATATCAACTCTATTGCAAATTTGAAGTTGAAAGGTAAAATTTATATGTTTGCCGATGACACAACCTTAATCTATTCAGCAGGTTCAGCAAAACAAATTAGGGATGATATTTCAAGTGATTTGAAAATATTATTATCATGGTTATCATGTTATAAATTGAGTATAAATTATAGTAAATCAGCATTTATGATAATTTCAAAAAAATCAAGATATAATGAGTACAAATTTCCAATTGCATGTAATAATGAAGTCATCAAATATTCAAATTATATCAAGTTTCTTGGTCTGTACATAGATGAACATTTGTCATGGTCAAAACATATTGAAATACTTAGGAAAAAAATATCTCCAATAATAGGTATACTTTTTAGGGTACGGAACCAAGTTCCTATAAAATGTCTCAAATCTATATACTTCTCTTTGATCTATTCTAAACTTGAATATTTGATTTCTGTATGGGGTTCAACAAAACTATCAATTATAAAGCCTCTCAAAACTCTTCAAAATAAAATTATCAAATGTATATACAGACTAAATTATTCGGAACCTACTATGAACCTTTACAGAAGAAGAGAATTATTAGATATAGATTCCTTATATAAATTCAAATTAATGTCGTTCATTCATTCAGTTAAACATTGTCAAAAGCATTCAAATTTGGTTTTCCAAGTCAATAGTAATCACCACAACCATACAACCAGACAAGCAGATCATTTTTCTGTCAAGAAAATTAAATCAGATATTGGTAAAAAATCCATCTATCACAATGGAATGATACAATACAATTCACTACCAAATAACTTGAAGCTGATTAATAGGATTGAAAAATTTAAAAGAGAATTCAAGAAACATCTACTCCTGTAATATTGACATCTTATCTCATTTTTATAGTTTTCTTGTACAACTACTATAGTTTTCAATTGTGTAACTAACAGCTGAGTCAATTGAGGATCATATTCATTTGAACTTGAAAAAAAAGATTCTTTTTGAGTGTGAGTCTTATTTTACTGTCTTCTTTATTTTATTTTGTCAAATATATTTATGTATTCACTATGTTCCCTGCTATAAACAAATGTTGTTTCTTGGGAATAATAAAGTTGATTGATTGATTGATATCACTTCATCTGAAGTTTTAGCTTCAGAATGAGATTTTGAAAACGGGTTGACAAGCAAGAAAGTTAAAACTGAAAAAACAAGGAAGATCATTTTTTGAGATCACTCTGTAAATAAAAGAGGTGAGAAGTCAATTTGAAAAATGTAATGAGATCATCTTCATGCCTTTGCTGTCAAAGTTGAAAAAAAAGTACTTGTTCATTTGGGAACCGTTTGAAAGTTCCGAAATTCTTCACAGTTACAGGTGACACCCTGTAGCGACTCTATATGAGGAACCTCGTGTTTTAAAAAAGTACAAGATGATAGCTGAAGGACTGGGCTAGCGAACAGTGTTATCCGATTCAAATTGTTCAAAGCAGAAAAAAGTTATTCATATTTTAACAGGGACAGAATTTTGGGGTGCGACGAAATTATTAGTGTTGGGTAGTTTATTTTGTTATTCATACGTATGACGATATAGGGTGTTACCAAATAGGCAAGGCAATGCAATGCGTGAATTACAAGAGTCTCAGGATCAGGTTCCTCTGCTGTCCGAACACGCCCGATCGCCAAGCGCTAGGGAGGGAGACGGTCTCCCCACCGGCCTACCGTTTGGCAATATGGCGATAGCGCGACGGGCGACGGGCGATCGGAGACGTTAACAGGCTTTTTATGAGTGCGTTCATTCACGGCCGGTCTATTTGAATTGTACAGGGTGGGCCACCAACAGTTTTGTTGACCATATTCCACATTTTAACCATAAGTTTATTGAGAAACCTGTTTTATCATTCGCAAAACGTACTGCATGTTGTGAAACCTCAAATACAATCATCAAATAACACATTTTTTCAGTCGTATACGCGGTGTGTCAAATACAGGGTAACTCACGGTCGATGGTACGTTAGACGTTTATGGAGAACGCAATGCAGGATTTTTCTGAAAATTTCGCACATCACATTTTATGACCTGTTCTATCGATCGAAAATATTTTCGAAATTGCGACGTTGCCGTTTCTATCTAAAAGTATCAACAACTTTGTTATTTCAAACGGAATACCCTGTATTTCATTGCATTTTTAGATTCTCCCTGAAGAGCTGATTTCATCAATACATCACACTTGGGGTCTAGCAGAAATTATTACAGAGATATAAGGTGTTAAAAATCGAGAATTTTCAACTTTACGATTTTTTTCTGTCGAAACTAATCATTAGTGGTCAATATGGCTTACATGTCCCTATCTTAACTTTTGATTCTCTATCTACTGACATTCAATTGGAACAAATACAGGGTGGTTCAAGATTCAGAATTCAGATCACCCTGTATCTGTTCCAATTAAATGTCAGTGAAATACAGGGTATTCCGTTTGAAATAACAAAGTTGTTGATACTTTTAGATAGAAACGGCAACGTCGCAATTTCGAAAATATTTTAGATCGATAGAACAGGTCATAAAATGTAATGTGCGAAATTTTCAGAAAAATCCTGCGTTGCGTTCTCCATAAACGTCTAACGTACCATCGACCGTGAGTTACCCTGTATAAATAATACACTTTACTCTTGATGGGTACAATTCACTTTTTGTGACGCACCGTGTATACGACTGGAAAAATTTGATATCGGATGATTGTATTTCAGGTTTCAGAACATGAAGAAGTTTTTATGAAGAATAACTTTTTTTCCTAAAATGAATAATAAAAAAATTGTTTTCTATACGGTCCCAACTTAGTGAGACATACTGTATACTAAATTAGGTACTGAATTTTGATTTTAACGGTTCATCAATGATTGCATTTATTTAGTAGAATTTAACTAACGCATTTCTCTTCTCCGCTAGTGCATCCTCTTTTCGGATTTAAAAAATCTTCAGTTTTGAAAGTAGTAGTTGCTTACCTATCCTATGAACCACACGACAAAAACGGCACATCAACTCATGCATGCACACATATATATATTATTCATCCTTCTCTGCTTGACGGCTTGGCGATCGGGCGTGTTCGGACAGCAGAGGAACCTGATCCTGAGACTCTTGTGCGTGAATTCACTTTGAATGTGATATTTGAGTATATTTGAGTATATTTTTGTATTCGACTAAGTGATTTTGCGAACGAATTCTCATCTTATATTTTAGGTGCATGCCAGAGTCTCCAAGATGGCTGCTAGCTGTGGGAAGAAAAGATGAAGCGATTCGAATCCTCAGGGAAGCTGCGATCGAAAACAAGCTCAATCAGCAAAAATTTCAAGAAGCTGTGTCCGGACTGCCGACCATCACGAAAACAACGAAACAGAAAGCTTCCTTTTCCGCATTGTTCAGCACGAGAGAATTGAGAAAGAGGAGCTTTTTACTATACATCAATTGGTAAAGATTTATGACAATAGAAATATTCATCCATTAGACTTTATTAGGTGATTAGATATTATCTTGGTTTGTAGAGTGTGGATTTTGGCACTTCTCCTGTGAGAATAGCTATATTTGTTATTGCTGCTCTCCAAAGATTACCGCGCTCCGCTCCGCATCGCGCGGTAACTTTCTTTGTCGAGCGGCAATCTATCACTTTGCGCTCGAAATACACACAAGATTTTTTCTACTAACGCAGCTTTTGGAAATAACTGCCCTGAAAGTATGAGCGATTGAAATAGTTGAAAAAGTTCTTATCCATATTATCCCGTATGTCCAAAGGAAACAAAAAGAGAAATATTTAAATAACTGACAAGCCAGGAAAAAAATGTCGGGCCTACCGAGAGTTGAAACTGGACCACCAGCATGACAACCTGAGCTTCAGAACTCTGAGCCATAGTACGATAAACTCTGTAATCAAATTGAACATTACTCATTGATGCAATAAAATTAAGATACAGTGTCTTTCTGATGACAACAAAGAGTTTAAATATAAAGTAAAATTCATCGTTTTCAACAGATAATCGGGAGCTGCTTGTAGAAATTTGTTGGTATATAACTTCAGCGGTGAATGTTTTGGATTTTTCTCGCTTTATATCCAATAGATTGTTTCTTGAGAAATGCGATAAGTTTCAGATACTTATTGAATCCGATATTATCTTTAACATTCAAGCATGTATACGTACCTACCATCGATTTCTAGGAAAACGTCAACTTTGTGCTGGAATTTGAAAGCGTCAAATGCTACTTTGTTAAAGCGTTTGTAGAAAAATTTTTTTGTTCTAGTCCACGAAAAGTAAATCTTGTAATATTCAGGGGACATCGTGAGAACCAAGAGAAATTAAGTAGGAATTGGTGTTCTTCTTGAATTTCTGCAGGTTATATGCTTCGAGAAACACCTCCCTTGGCAATGTTTTCCAATGTGTTCGTTGAATGAACTAGTCTTTGGGAAGAGATGTTCTGTAGGTCTCCAAATTGACCACGAAGGGGTGCGAAGCCTCAACTCGACGGGTTAATTTCGCGGGGAAACATCCACGAAATCATTTATTTCTGAATGTTCAACAATAACGCTGTTCTATCTCTTGAAGCACACGAAAATGAATTCCTAATATGTTCGTGGAACATCGTGCGTACCTAGGGAGGATAGGGGGAGGCCTTTCAAGCCAGTTCAACACTATTTTTTATATCAGGCTAAACATAATTTTACTTCAGAACTATATTATTTGACGTTTGTAGAACAACTTTTGTTTATAACTCGAGCGCAAAATACTTTGGTCATCTCGACTATTTTTTTACCTCGACTACGCCTCGTTGAAGAAATCAGAGTACAATTTCACGCTCTAGTTACAAAAATATCTATTATGCACTAGCGGGCGGTAAAGTGCACTATATCGCCCAGATTTGCGGGCGTAAAGTGGTACTTTACCGCCCACGGGCCCATTATCGCCCACGGGCCATAAAGTACACTTTACCGCCCGCTGTTCTCAAGTCTCTTATATCCACACATCCATTTGTGGAATACCTATATTTGAACTCTCAGCTGATTCTATTGTTATGATTATGATACATGTTATTGTTCATCCGATTCCATCTTCGCTACAACGTTCATCTTTGAGTAGTTGCTTTCTGGCTGTTTGAAGTTTTTAGCCAAAAGATGACAATTTCTGCTTGTTTTTTGGATGTATTGCTAGACAGCAACCATCAGATTGATTGACAACGTCAAATCTAGGTAGCTATATACTGGGTATACATATTCTTGCATCTCAAGAAATGATCTCTGTTAGTGAACAAAGAGTTTTACTCTCACGATTATTGCGATATTCGTACGGTAATTTTGATATGTAGATTATACACATAAACATTGTGCGCTTCTCTTGAAAACTGAATTTATGAGTAACATATAAATTGTAGTTTGTTAAAATCTAATCATCACTTGTGACTCGGGAAATGAACCACTAGTGCATAAAATTTTGTATGTATCACGTGCGTATAATGCGTTTATAGCCTTCAGCGTGTAATGGCCCTCGGCTAGCGCCATCGGGCCATTATTCACGCCACAGGCCATAAACGCCTACTTTACGCCCTTGATACATAAATAACTATTATAGGACCATCTCCGGCATAACCTTCTATGCCTTCTCCCAGTACCTGGGTCACGTGGGCAGCAACGTCTTCCTCACCGTGGCTACCAGCGGTCTGATCGCCGTGCCCGGTGCCCTCCTCTGCATCCTATTGGTGGGAAGAGCCGGCAGAAGAGCAACCTTGGCAGGCAGCCACCTGTTCACCGCCTGTTGCTTCCTGGCGGTCATCGCGGTACCGAAAGGGCAGTACAGTCACGATTGGCCCAGAGTAGTTCTGGCTGGCTGCGGGATCACCGGTATATCCGTGAGTACCTATTCACCACAACCGTATCATTTTTTGAAGAGTTTTCGAACAGCTGATTTTGCTTTGGTTCTGAAGATCATTGTCTGCAAGAAGAACATCTTCCGATGAGGCCTGGCTCAGTAGAAACTGCTCTAGAGCTGTCGCTTCCAAACAGGCAGCATTCCATCGATAGCAGAAAAATCCAGGCCCTCAGACTACAGCAGGATATGTCGAGGCTAGAGGCATATGAGACAATTCGATCATCAAAGGATGCTCATAATGCCAAAATAAGATCCAAACTTGTTGATCCTGTTTATTTTGATCCTTCGCCAAAGCTGTAGGAAGAAACTTCAACTCGTTTCCTCTTCTAACCAAGGAAGATGGAACACTAGCCACAACTGCCCAGGAGAAAGCAAACATATTTGCGCATTTATTTGCTGGAAATTCCACTCTGGATTCATCGGTGAAACAACCTCCAAACTTAACGCCAATTGACAGTCATATGCCCGAGATCACCTTCCGCCAACGTACTATTAAGGGAGATTTTATTGGGTCTCAACACCAACAAAGCTTGTGGCTCAGACGGAATCCCACCGATTGTTCTCAAGAAATGTGCTCCCGAACTAACACCTGTTCTCTGCAAGTTGTTCAACTACTCTTACAAATTGGGGATATTCCCCTCCAACTGGAGAATTGCAAGAGTACAACCAGTTCTCAAGAAAGGCACAAAGACCCTACCTAGCAACTAAGGACCGATGGCACTGCTATCTATTATTTCAAAGATCATGGAGAAAGCTATCAACATCGAGCTCATGAAATACCTGGAACATTCAGGTATTATCAACGATAGGCAATATGGCTTCCGTTATCAGAGATCAACTGGTGACCTGCTCGCTTACGTCTCACATATATGGCAGCAATCATTTGAAACATATGGTGATCGAGTCTGCCACCACGCACTCCTCGCCAAGCTTCCATCTTATGGCATGCCTCCCCAGCTATGTTCTCTGCTAGCTAGTTTTCTCGCAAACAGGTCTTTCCATGTAGTGGTCGACGGAGTTTCATCTGACTCTCTTATCATAAATGCTGGTGTTCTGCGAGGATCAATTCTAGCACCAACACTATTTCTACTCCATATCAACGATTTGTTGGAAGCAACTTCATGTCCAGTATACAGCTTCGCGGTTGATAGTACCCTCCATATCGCCTTCTCTTCCAGGGCTTCAATACCAACCAGCCGAATAAGAAACGAACGAGGAAGAAATGTTTACAACATACATATGGACTTGGCAACAATTCTAGAATGGGGATCCAATAACTCGATAGATTTCAATGCAAACAAAACATAAGCATGCCTTTTCACTAGAAAAGCCGATCTCACTGTGCCCAACATAAGCTTGTCAGGAGTAACCATACCTTTGAAGACATCCACTTCGGTGCTTGGTATTACTATCAACAATAACCTTTCTTGAGAAAATCACGTGAGATCAATTGCTGAAAGTGCATCCCAAAAACGTGGTTTTCTGTTTCGGGCCAGGAGCTATTTCACTCCCAGTCAGCTGATTATGATCTATATGGCACAGATCCGACCTGTCCTGGAATACTGTTCCCATATTTGGAGTGCAGCACCCAAACATATCCTGAAACTGTTGGATTATACTGTATAAAAACGGGCAATTCGTCTCGTGGGTGATGCCTCGCTCACAAACTCACTCAGTTCTCTGGAACACTATCATAGTGTGCTACAGAATTAGCCGAAATGATTACGCTATAAGAATGGACACATATGTAGTTCGTTGTTCAACAATTTTAGCGAACCTCACAAACCCTGTTTCAACAAGAACTGTCCAATATAGAGCTGTTGCTTTGGAGCAAACAGCTGGCGCAAAAACTTCAATACTGAGACAATAGAATAGAATAATGTGGATGAGCCAGGAATATCTATAACAAGAGACGCATTAAAAAAAGCCAAAATGAGATCAAAACTCATAGAATTTCTCAATGGCTCCCATTCAAAGAAAGGAATTTCACTAACAGTTCTTTTCCTCCCGTCATTTAAAAAAAAATGTGCACCAGAATTGACTCCATTCATTTGCAAGATATGCACCAACAAGTTGGATGTTTTATCTTCAAAATGGGGATGAGAAATTCGTCCAGTAATTCTGTGGAAAAGCGGCAGGAGAGCGACCTTGGCAGGCAGCCACCTGTCCGCCTGCTGCTAGAAACTAAAGTTCAACTTTAGCTCCTAGGAAACTAAATGTGTTGCCAACAAATCTATTTTTGTGTGGGTTGCAGAAAAAAATTTTTTCCACGTGTTTTTTTCTTTCAGATCTCGATGCCGGCCCTCTACCTGTGGACGGGAGAGCTGTACCCCACCGTGCTGCGCAACGCCGGCGTCGGGACGTCCATCATGTTCTCCAGGATCGGTTCGATGCTGGCGCCGGTCGTGGTGGCCTTGGAAGAATTCGGCCCTCACGTGCCTCTGCTCATTCTGGCTGTGGGCGCATGCGCAGAAGGCCTTTTGGTGCTGCCGCTGCCCGAAACCAAAGGGCTTGCTTTGCCAGACACCATAGAAGATTTGGAGGATTTGGGGAGTTTAGAAAGTGATGAGAAGGGCTATGTGACAGTGCCTGTACGGAATGATGACGGGAGAGAAGAAGAAGCTGAATGAAATGATATTAAGACTGTAAAATCGATTGATGATTATATTTTTTTTATAAAAGAAAGGAGATAATGATGATGAAATATGATGCCTTTTCTCTAGAAAAGCCGATCTCACTGTGCCCAACATAAGATTGTCAGGAGTAACCATACCTTTGAAGACATCCATTTCCATTCTTGGTATTACTATCAGCAATAACCTTTCTTGGGAAAATTTACTGTTTACGCCTGATGTCACTCCAATTTCTGTCGTGTCAAGTTAGGTCAAATTAGCAAGATGAGCCTTTTTAGGAAAATTTCGTCGTTGATTTATCTTGCCAAAAAACACTCTGACTTTTTCTTCAATTGGAAAAGTTTCCCTACTAACTCAAACATTTTCCATCAGTTATTTCTCTCGAAAAACTGACATTAGACAAAACTGCTCGACCTAAGGTCTCGCAATTTTTTCATGACAGTTTTTCCCGTAAAATTACTGGTCGGCAAATGTTTCTCGTCACCAAGAAAAATGTATCCGATAAAAATTAGCTCTTCTGTCAACTTCTCCATGGAAAACTCTATTTGACGATGACGTCACATCGATAAAAAAGGATGCACCTTTTTTATCGCTGTGAAAATGGATGTTCCTTAAAACAAGTTTGAACCTGTCACTTCAATTTCTGTTGTGTAAATTAACAATCTTGGAGAACTTCGTGCAAAAACAGAGGCAGTTTTGCAGGAATTACAAAGATATGAGTATTATAATATAGAAAATCGTTAAACGTATTGTATCGTCTCCCATTTGATACACCAACCAATCAATTGTTTGAAATAACAAATACGTATTCTTTAGATGAAATATATAGGATTGAAACTCTCAAAATATCATATAATATCATAAATAAAAAATAGAAGTCGAATTTTATGTTGATACGGCATTCTGAAATTCATAATCATGAAACAAGACAATATAACTTGTTTCATCTTGACGCCGCTAGCTCCATTATCGGACAAAAAAGATTCACTCATTCAGCCTTAACTGAATTCAATAAACTACCTGACAATATAAAAAATTGCAGAAATATAGGTTCATTCAAAAATGAAGTGAAAAAATTGATTATTTCTGATTCTGAGCGAACTGGATAAAATTGAACATGCCATTTTTTTTACAAATATTATTCTTTGTTTGTCAATTTACAGTTGTTGATATATTTTGTATAATGATATGTTTACCTATAGGTATATAATTATGTACTTCCTTATACCAGAGCCTATTCTGTCTGGAAGTTATTTGTTCAATAAATAAATAATTTCAACATTATATGTGTAGTAGGACAAAAAAGATGATTTTCCCCAAATTGTCACTAATGCGTTGTTTAATCAGTGAGCCTATAAGACAAATTCAATAGCTTGTCTGTGGACGCTTTGTTTGGAAAAATGTTTGAAGAGAATAACTATATAGATATATTGAAATAAAATTGAATTTTCACTCATCTTTGGACGTTTCTGCTCCCGTTCTGATTCATTCATTTACATTATTTAATGATTTTTAATGCATCCGCTACACATACGACGACTATCTTCATTCCGGAGTTATATCAGTAACTCGAAATTGGCTTCCTCAGTTGTGTTTCTGTTCAGAGCATACCTATATTAGTATTCCAGAGCAACATAAATTGTGATGATGGGAGATGCTGAAATCAAGATAATATCTCGTATATATTAGGAACCGAGTTCCCTCTAGCGCCAAAACCAGGATAGGACTGAAATATACTGGAATCGTATTTAAAGAAATTCTTCGCCACAAGTATCTAGTAATCAAAGCATACTAGGTATATACAACTCATTGGATACACAGATAATAGTAGATTATACCACGAGTCAATAATGATAGCTATTATTCTCGAGGATTTTTTACGAACCGAGCCGCGTTAGCGGCGAGGGAGTAACATTCCGAGAGAATAATAGCCATTATTGCGAGTAGTATACTCTACTTTATTTGCGACTAATATATATACTTGTGGTTTTTGAAGTATAATGCCATATATTAATCCCGCAGGGAATAATGGCGAGGGATTAATAGTCTTTATTCCCTGCGGGATTAATATATGGCATTATACTTCAAAAACCACAAGTATAATATATTAGTCGTGAATAATAGTATATTACGTAATATGTGCTGTACGAAGCATATTACGCACGACTGGAAAAGTAATTCCACGAGTGCGTGATTGCTTTACAACACGCATTACGTACTATACTTTACCTACGGCCACTATAAAAAGTAGGCAAGAACACACGATATACAGCCTCAGTAAGTAGTTCTATACCACATTAAGCACATCGCACAGTTTTCGTTTATTTCGCCAGTCATAATAGCGTAATCGCCGTCAACAGCGAATGACAATTATAATTCTGGACAGTTATGTCATCCGTTGTTGACGACGATAACGCGATCATGACTGGCGGAATAAACGAAAACTATTCGCTGTGCTTACGGTTAACGGTGCGTAAAGAGCTACTTACTGAGGCTGCATCTCATGTGTTCTTGCCTACTTTTTATAGTAGCCGTAGATAATAGTATATTGTGTAACAAGTGGGGAAAGTTCAACATTTCTCACGAGTGTGAAAGTTTGTGGCACGAGCCTGGAGGGATAAAAATATGTACATGCACATAATATCATTCTGAATAGGTATTCAACAGGAAACAACTACTATCCTGGCTATTCTCCACGTCGAACATTGAATTATATCTGTTGAACATCCAAATGGAGAGCATGAACATTTTTTGAATATGTCCACTACCAAAGTTTTCAATGAAACTATTTTTCTACAAACGCTCAACAAAGTAGCCTTTGACGCTTTCAAATTCCAGCACAAAGTTGACGTTTTCCCATAAAAGTCATTCTTTGACAGCATTTGCGCTCGTGAGCGGAAATATTGAAAAAACGCTCGCACATCTCTGTAACCTATACTTATCTATTCTTGAAAACCCCCCAATTCTTTCATGATGGAAAATAGTGACAGTGAATCATCAAACACACCTCCTGATATAGCAGAAAGCACAAGAGTTTGAATCTCTCACCAGAGAAATCAAGGAAGAAAAATGAATTACAATATGATATATTCATAAATTGGTGCCACTCCGAGATGGTGAATATGTATTCAGAAAACGTTTTACTGGCTTATTTTGGTAAAAAATCAAAGACTTTGAAGTCATCAACTTATTGATCTATATATTCGATGGTACGTATACATGCTTGAATGTTAAAGATAATATCGGAATCAATAAGTATCTGAAATTTATCGCAGTTTCAAGAAACAATCTATTGTATACAGGGTGTTTCATAATTGAATGTCAATATTCGAGGAGGCGATTCTTGGGCTCATTCTAAGAAGAAAGTTTCATATGAACGTATGACCTAAACGTCCCAACTTTGGAGATACAGGGTGGTAAAATTCTCGAAAATTAATATAGCCTACTACAATGAGAAGTTATAATTCGAAAATACCAAATACGAATACAAAGTTCATGAACTATGAATTGTATTTCTGAAATTTGATCTTAAAAATAAAAACTATTTCTCTGCATTGTGATATTATCATATTAACAATATTACTATAATCATGTAGTGAAAAGCTTTTTATTTTTAAGCGAAAACCGTGCATCAGATTGAAAAAATTGTAGTGATCAAATTTGCTTAGAAATGATCGGGAATTTCAGGAATGATTTCAATTTGGAGATTAATCAGTGGCGTACCATCAATGTCTGCCAAAATAGGTATGTGAAATTCCATACGAACGCCACTGGTGGCAACAACAAAAAATGTGGTACGCTAACTGATGCCTCTTGATAGATAGTACATGTATGCCAAATTTCATTAGAATATCTGAAGTGGTATTACAGATATGAATAAAAAACTATTAATTTTTGACAACTTTACCACCCTGTATCTCAAAAGTTAGGATGTTTAGGTCATACGTTCATATGAAACTTTCTTTTTAGAATGGGCCCAAGAATTGCGTCCCCAAATATTGACATTCAATTATGAAACACCCTGTATAAAGCGAGAAAAATCCAAAACATTCACCGCTGAAGATATATACCAACTTTCTACAAGAAGCTCCCGATGAAGCATATCTGTTGAAAACGATGAATTAATTATACTTTATTATTTAAACTCTTTGTTGTCATCAGAAAGACAGTGTATCTTTAGTTTATTGCATCAATTAGTAATATTCACTTTGATTGCAGAGTTTATCGTACTATGGCTCAGAGATCTGATAAGATAAGATAATATAAACTTTATTTTCCTTTTCAGACAATTACATTTCATATTGTATAGGAATCGTCAATAGGTCTTACAAACTAATGGGACATATACTCATCTACACTATAAAAACAGTTATGTAGCAGAAACTCTTTCAATCTTCTTTTAAACACAACCAATGTTTCACAGTTTTTTATGTTGATTGGCAGTAAGTTGAAAATTCGTGGGGCCATGAGATTAGGAAAATTGTATGCTAATTTACATTTACCAAATGGGACATATACATCATTTTTTTGCCGGGTATTCACATTATGTTTGGATTTGTTGAGAACAAAATATTCATCATAATTTTTGAAAACAAATACACAATATTCAAATATTAAAAGACAAGGTAGTGTTAAAATTTTATAGTTGATGAATATATTTCTGCAGGATTCTCTCATAGGAACACCTACCATTATTCGTACTATTCTTTTTTGAGCTATAAAAACATCTTTCCATCAGTGTGTAGATAGGCCCCAGAAACATAAACCATACCTAAGTCTAGAGTGAAGCTCAGGTTGCCACGCTGGTGGTCCAGTTTCAACTCTTGGTAGGCCCGACATTTTTTTTCTGGCTTGTCAGTTATTTCAATATTTCTCTTTTTGTTTCCTTTGGACATATGGAATAATATGGATAAGAACTCCATCAACTATTTCAATCGCTCATGCTTTCAGGGCAGTTATTTCCAAAAGCTGCGTTAGTAGAAAAAATCTTGTGTGTATTTCGAGCACAAAGTGGTATTGCCGCTCTCCAAAGATTACCGCGCTTCTTTGTCGAG